AGGGAGAGAGAGAGGGAGAGAGAGAGAGAGAGAGAGGTGGCGGTGGTCATTCCCCCTGCTGATTGGCGAGATCCGGCGCCGACCTAGCGGCTAGCGGGGTCTTCCCCAACCATCTCCCACAAGCGGGAAACCGCTCCAGCCGGAACAAGCTCTAAGCTCCCAGCCGGGCTCCCGGCATGTGTGGTAGAATGTTAGTGTGTGAAAGAGGTGAGGTTAGGACAAGGAAGGGGAAGGTAAGATGGTGCGCGGTCTGTGGCCCATTTGTTAGGGTACTGTTCCGGCATTCGCCTGATATTGATCGGAGAAACCATTGTAAACTGCCGATCATAGCTAGAATCTCCTCCAGACAGCGACTGAATTCGACCTAGCCGACAAGTGTCGAAAATCCTGCCACCGTCGGAACTCGAACCGAGGACCTCCCGGTCAGAGGGACTGCAGCGACATCCGTCGACGCACTGAGCCATCTCTCCCGGTCGAAGCGAAGGAGGGCGAGGGGGAGGGGTGTGGCGTACCTTCTGGGGCTCCTTCTTCTTGGCGAGCTCGAGGTAGAGGCGGAAGAGCGTGAGGATGAGCTGCAGGATGGCCAGGCCGAAGAACTTGATCTGCAGCAGCGCGCCGAAGCCCTGGAAGAGCAGCCCCAGCTTGTTCTTGATGAGCATCGCCACGAACAGCAGCTTCATCAACGCCTTCCTCTTCTTCTTCTTCTTGCCTCGGCCTGCCACACAAACAAACGATTGGGTATGCTCTCGTCAAGAACTGAGGAAGAGCAAAACGCGGGGATTTGTTTGAACATCCACGTGAAGAAGTTGTTCTGTCCTATTTTCGTAAGCTTTTACAACATATCATGTTAATTGCCAAGCGCATTTTCACTGATAATTTCTCTTAAAGCTGTACAACTCTGTATCAAATAATAGTTCTTAAATGTATAATAAATAAAGTAATTTATTTCACTATCATTCTAGACAGTACTAAAAAATGTTTGTATTCACATAAATTGTCTGTGCTTGAACAAATGATTGCGTACAGGATATTTCATTTCAATTTCATTCCATCTGTAGGTTTTCATTCCACAGTTTGTATCGTGCTATGTGGAATGAATTGCTTCCTATCGGTATGTAATTGATTGGTGATGTTAAGTTTAACGGAGATGAGTTTAATATTGATTTTCAAATGGGACTACAATGCTATCGATGAACTAATCTTTTACGATGTAATTTCAGGTGTTTACCTGTCAACGATAGCGAGCCATTTACCACCCTAATTAAAAATCACTGAAAATTCGTCTCGCTCGTAAATCGAGAACATTTCATTACCTGTTCAATTAACATTATTACAGTTGCAACTTGATTTTATGTTCGTTGCAAGTTATAAGTGGCCGTAAGTGTTAAAAAGTAGTAAGAAGAAAACAAAAGTATCCTTTTTATTACCAGGAGGATAATTTATCTCTTGATCATTTGTGACAGTTGGAGCAATTAATGAGTTTCTCTCGTATTGAGGACAGTGTGAGAGTGCTCAGCAGGGGTGGAATTAGGAGTGGAACAATCTTTGCTTGAGATGAATAGTAATTTTCGTGGCACCTTAGAACGGAATTTGTGTGCGAGTCGTACACCTCTGCTTGGTCAGAAAGCAAAACGGCTCACTTTTGTTCACGGCTGATTAATTAGCTGCATTGCGGATATTAAAATTTTGTTATTATATTAATTATTATATATTATTATGTATTATTAATTATTGCGGATATTAAAAAATATTATATTAACTGTGTTCGACGAGTGTTCTTGTGAAGACCCATGTATATTCCGATGCTTTTAATAAATTCAGTTGTACAGCAATTAATGAAACGTTGACTTCAAATATATTGGGCGCACTCCTTGTTTGTGGCTTCTTTCACATGACATTTGAATGTCACCCCTTGACCCTTTTTGGAGACATTTTCTCCTGATTTATTTTCTGCATACCCTCAAGTGAGTCATTACTGTAGAATAGGGACGGAGCGTTTTTTGCTGAATAATAATTTCACGTCCGATCTCCTCAATTAGTTGAGTATTTAATGGAAACGGTAGATATTGGAACTAGTTTTAATCACGTTACAAAGGAACGTCTGAGAGATAGGTGTACAAGAATGCCCACAATTGAAAAAAGTTTGTGCGCTAGTGTGAGTTGATCGGTATATGTTCGTTGTCCGGGTGGCGAAACGGGGAGGCTGATTTGATGCCTCTGTTTTTGACGCATGGGTGAGTGCTGCGGGCTAGCGCGGACTCAGATTCAGTCTCCGCTCTAAGCCAGCAGCTCTAGCCCAACCATGGTCGCGGCGCTTATCTCGCTAAAATCGATTTGCGATACAAGAAATATTCGAAGTTCTCTTTTCGAGGGTTACCGCAATGGCGACTATGCGTGGCGAGGGTTTTTGCTCTTCAAAACCATCCGCCGACCCGTGCTAAGCACTGAGCTATCGGCGTCGATGAACTGATTTAAAGTCATATATCTGAATAATTGCGAAATAATTCTGAACGCATATTATTACGTTCCTTCATTCTGTTTTGTGTTCAGTTATACGCGTGCTCTATTTTAGGCGAAGTTAGACGGAACTGAGTTAAAAGAAGCAGGCAATGCTTAAGTAAATATAATGAAATGCAAACTGTTGGCTTTGGAATGGCATACTGTTTGACACGTTTCTCTCCCAACCTCTTTTGTCGAGCTGTGCCAGTATTGCAGCGCGCGGCCGTTATGTCTGTGCGGGCGCTTTAGTGTTTGCACGCGAACTCACCCTCCTCGTCGAGGTCGTTGGCGCTGCGCCCTTGGCCGTCGTCCTGGTCGGTGTCGCCGTCCTCGTCGGCGTCCGCCAGCGCCTCGGCGGCGTCCGGCAGCAGCTGCGCGCCCAAGTCGGCCACGCGCTCCAGCAGTGGCAGCTCCCCGCTGCGCCGCGCCTCCTCCTCTGCGACAACAACCAGCGACCATGGCTCACTTGATTGATTGATTTACGTCAAAAACAGTTTAAAACTGCGTGACGTGCTACGCGGAGAAGTTAATTTGAAGTTACATTTGTTTACATTGTTGAAGTCACAGTTGTCACTTCAATACCATCTTATGCTTTTGGCTTTTCTTCAATGAACAGGTCCCTTTCAAATTTTATATAGCAGCGTTTTAAAATTAATATATTCAATATAAGAAACAGTAGTTTATGCAATTACTTCATAGGTTAAGATTTATTGCATGAATACATGTTTGGAAAACGACGTTGGGAGAAATTTTCAAATTTGTACGAATGCAATAAAGCAACATTACATACGAGTTGCATACGCTATTTTTTTTGTTTGTTAGGGAATTAAACTTAATTTTTCGTAACAACTTTCTTGTGATGCCTCGGGTATTTGACATCTGAGCGAGAAAACTTTGGTCGGCTGTTCCATTTATCTCTCCCTCCCCACGATTCTCTCACTGCGATTGGCTGAATGTGTGATGACGCAATCATTTGTGCGGTAAAATCTAATACGTCATCATTTGTGTCGTAAAATACCCGATTATGAGCGATTTCGTGGAGCAGAAAAGATCGTTTATAATGCTGGTATGCAAACAAAATTATTAAACTGTCATAAATAAACTGTCATTAAATAAACATTAGACTGTCAAAAAAGTGTTTTGCCCGCAGTGCAAAATGTAATGACAGTGTACCCAATGTTTCTCTCACATTCTCCCGTTCAAAGCTATTCATGTCAAGTTTTTTAAAACATCTAATAATAGTCATGGGCGCGACCACGTTTGGACCTCGTGTGATGATTGCAATGGCGTTGAAGACTAGGCATATTTTACCCAGTAAGACATGGCGAGTACTATAAATTCGATAGTGACAATGTTGGTCATAGAGTCACCGTGAAGGCAACTGTCGCTTTAACCTGGAGAGATTTTTAGGCAATATGGCATGTGTATGAATGTAGGGGAACTGGGTAAAGTGGAAAACCCGATCGATCATTAATCGGTACGTTGTTTGTAATGCGTGATACAAATTTACAATAAATGCGAATACAGTTTTAGCTTTTTAAATACATCAAAAGTGAAGATAGAAAATCATTTAATGGCAGTTGATCCTTCAGGTAAAGTAAATATTTTTATTTGAAACGAGGTTTACTCCAATGGACGTAACCTGATCCCTTAAAAAATATATACTAGGGTAGTTAATGAAAAACAGGAAGTTAACTTTAAAATTAATTGAAATAGAGTGGTGTGTGCTAGGGACTCATATGTATTAGATCATTCCTCTTCTTCGGTTTATTTATGACAAGTGAAACCAATATGCTGAAACTTCTGCGTAATAGGGTTGACGGCAAGACCTTTGGAATGCGTCGACTCTCAGTCTTGAAGATGCCGTGAAGTCATTGCCAGGTGCGGTACGAACGCGTTATTGCTTTCTTAACGCTTTACGGCTTTACGGCCTTCTTGGGTCGCGGATACATCGTGAGTGAAACGTCAAACGCTAAAACGACACCTTTCCGCTGTCGTATCTTCACACCGCCCGCTCCGAGAATAATTGTCAAGCGTCCGTGCACACCAGCGCCAGGCGGAGATGTTGCCTGCTCCAGCGGGCAGAACCAGGTCCACAGCTGATGCAGATGATTCCAGTATGTGGAACAAAGTGGCTCGCTGTTAATTTAGTTTTATCGCCGCCCTAACCTTAAAAAACGTGCCTTGGTGCCGGGAGAGATTAGAGCAGCGCCCAAGCACATAGAGTTCGAGTTTTGGATACCTTAGGATGTTTTAACTATGTGACTGGCGGAGTTAGAATATTTTACCACCGTATAATGTACTAATTTAACATTAACTTCTGCTCTTGTCAGTAATGTAATATTTCAAACGAATTTTTTTATATAATAAACAGACTTCATTAAAGCAATTATAAAAATATAGTAATTAAAATATCCTTAAAATGTTCTTGAAAAGAAATTGCTATTTAAAATAACACAGAGAAGAGTTACGTTTGATAACACTTATTAAGAGTTTCTAAAAGATTGAATGCGTTTCGAATCATGGGACATGCGGTCATAAGGTGTAAGCATACTCCATTAAATGGAAATAACTGTCAAACATGAACCATGAATACAAAATGTCATGGTGATGATATGAAGACAAACTGCAACTTTTTTATAATTGTTTTAATAAAATGTGTTTAAGATGTAAAAATAGTCGTTAAAAACCGGTATTGATCGCTAATGATCTTCCCTACCGTTAAAAAATTAGTGCAAGACAGTTACAAAACACCATCCTGATCACGTGTTTAGGAGAGGCGAGCAGGGCATACTGCCGTACACCTTTTCCCTCACCTACGCTATGGGGAAGTAAGTTAATTCTTAAGTGCGTGATCACGGCTGTGCACCAGAAACCATTTTAATTTTTCTTTCCCAAAAATTAAATAACAATGATTTGAAGAAATACGCGTTGCATTGGAATACATAATCTACGCCAGCAACAACGAGATCCCCCTGAAACCAAATACCAACTCGAGTCCCCTCCGACGCAGTTATTCCATACATCAACACATTAACTCGCCATACACTCATTGTTATTCATTCGCAAACAGTTACAAACCTTACGGAGTATACGATTCATCAGTACCAACTGCCTGTAGCTCAAGAGGCGTGTTTTCAGGCAATATATGTCGTGTATACAAATGTGTATAGCAATTAATAATGGTTTATAAAATTTTGTGATACTTTCTTTTAGAATTAATTTTTTTATTTTTTTTAGAAGTTTCAAATATGTTTTGGAATGAATTGTTGAATGAAAATAACAAATATGATATCCGGAAACATTCAAGAATGTTAATTTGGAATAGTGACATACGAACAACTCCACGACAAACGAGTGCTAACATAAACTCGTCTGAACCCTATGGAGTCGTGAGCTTCAAATCATGAGATGCTAATCAACATAGTAGTTGGGCTCTTTTCACGACCTCATTTCTCCTAAACGACACCGCCGTTGAAGAAGGATGAAGATAGTTATAACAAGAGTACGACACTGGATTTCTAGGATGACGAAAGTTATAACATTATATTTCGGGGATTTTGAATCTTGTTTTAGAGAAAATTGAATTAAGGAAAACGAAATCCTACATTTTGTAATGCATAGCTTTTGCAGAGGAAAACATCAACTGCACAGAGCTGCGCTTAGTGTCATTTATAGCCTCTACATTAACGTTTCCATGGACACTTGCGAGAACTATGCGGGATTATTCCCGTAATAAATGAGATATTACGTCCAGATGATGAGAGACGCAATCTAATCCACATGTTGACTGTAATTTCCATTACGTTTCTTGAAAAAATGCAATAATGCTTGAAAATTATCGTAGTCACTATACGATATTAGCGAGCAGAATGTGTAAGAATTAACACGTCCAGCAAAAAAAAGGTAAAGGAGACAGTTCGAAAAAAATGAAAAGAAAAAACTCTTTTGAATGAATGTGTATAAATCCAAGATAAATTGATTACTATATTTTACGTGTTGGAAGCAAGTTTTCCCGGGATATCGGAATGCATTTATAAATAAAATAAGAATTTGGAACTCTCGTTACATTTGAACCAATGCACATAAAATTATCTTCCCGATGGACTCTCTATTGACTAGTAAAAAATGTAATGAAAATACAGAATGGACAAATTGAGTACATCACAAATGATTAATGAAAAGACAAATAACGGACTGATATGTTTCCGGGCCCATCAACTACTATGACTATTAGTCCCTTTTGTGTGGTACATGTTTTTATCACAGAAAGTCGTGTTCCTCCCCATTGGATGGCAAAATCCAGCGCCGTCCAACACGTCGGCTTGCGGGGGACACGAAGAACGGTTGAAAATGTTACATACCCTAAAAGTAATTGCTTGCCCAATTCCTGATAGCATTTACAATCAGTTACTAAGACGAGTATATCTGTTATACGCTCGTCACATTTCAAGCAATTTTCATACGAAGTCGTTTCCGCGGCCAGTCTCGCTAGTGCTCTTGAAGTCCGGGTGACGCAGCGTCGAAGGCGTTTTCACCATCTTGTCGATGTCTTCCTCAGAGCAGACCAGCCCCAAGGAAAAGCACAAGATGGCCGACACGTTGGCCACTCAGCTCTTGGCGCGGGGACACCCGGCACTCGCAATATTCATGCGATTTAGTCGAAGGTAGGTCCATTGACCAGCACATGCTACGCGGTTTCAGCGGTTGCCTGCTCCGTGTCGTGATGTGGATCACGAGCGCGGCGTTCACCTGCCTCGCGCGCTGAGGTGAGGTGCGGGCGTTTTTCCGACCGCAAACTGGTTTGGTTCCGTTCCCCACCGGTGGTCCAGCAGTCGCCACCCACTGCCCCCTCCTCCCCTCTGTCGGGGGATTCAGTGAACTCTGTGAAGAAGACAGCCAGTTGCTCGGCCGGTGGGGCGGGGTAAACTTTCTCCTCGAGAGGGTCGCTGCTTTTATTGGCTCGGCTCCCGGAGCGTGCGTCGACCTCGGCTGTCGGCGTGACCTGTCTAAAAGCCTCCCTGAACTCGGACGCTCTCTTCTACACGCGACCGGCCGACAAGCTGCTATTCGGAGCACTTTCTACAAGATGGCCAGGGAGAGTTTATGGAATCATCTGGAAGATCGGACTCTTGGGAGATCTGAAGATACTCGGTTGGAATGCCACGCAAGAAAGATTGTGGAATACGTTGGATCTTTAGTATATGTATCTTTGGAAAACGTATCATTTTTTGGAAATGTAGTACGTTGTACTTTGGATCTAAAACAATGGTTACTCTGTTGTTAATTTGGATGAGAAAGCAAATTTACTACAACAAAAATGTCAGGTTCCAAACAATTGTTTTAAATGTTGCATGCCAACGTACTAAATTTCAGTAGTCGTTTCTACGCAGTTAAACAATTATAATAATGTTACAAAATTAAAAATGAGTTTGAGGTCGTACAAATTATAGGAATATTGTTGCAGATCCGTACACTTGAAGTAACCCCGACTACTGATAGAGGTATTTGAACGCTTGAGATCTCGGAAAACACGAAAGCGGAGGAGAAGCTGTAATCATCAGTAGAACGCTCGAAAAGTATATTGATAAATTTTGCAATCGACCATTTTTAAAAATGTAAATAATCTTCTTTCTGTAGACACTGAATTACGAGAATATTTTGCGATACTTTTCCGGATTGAACCAACAAGAAAAACTAAACAAATTACATTTTCTACTGGATGAACCTTAATCATGTGATTTTATAATACAATGCCATAGTTCTTCACTGGTTAGTAATGTTACTAAAATGTTTTTTGCACATGCTTCTTTTGATATATCGAAACTTTTGTACTAGTTTTCGTATTCCATTTACATTGCTTCTATATCCCTGTATGGCCCTAAGATCTACCATTTTTTTAAATACGTGAAATTGTTTTCTTTAAACTGTACTAATATATCGACACTTGACAATCGAACAGAAAAACGAACAAAAATAGACTGTGAGCAGCCGGCTGCCGTTATGGAATTTAACAGTCCGCCATCCGTTAAGAATATTTAAAGGAAATGAATTGTAGCTACAAGACAAGTAATTTCATTTTTTTATAATTTTCATTATAAGAAAATGATACGAAGAGATGTATTGTACGACACGTGACCGATTTAAGAAATAACGGACTTTATTGATTATAAATAATTTATTGTAATAAAAAGTAATATATATTTATGTGTGTGTTTGTGTCTTTATGTTTTGTTTTATGTTGTCTATTTCTGTTCGTATGTTTTGCAAAATGTCTAAGAAGAAATAGAAAATATGGAAAATAAAAATTCATTATAGTGTTTCAAATTGCTTTATACAAGCATTTTTTGAACACAGAACTTCGCGGTTCAGATTCTAAACGGAGCGCGGTGAAAGAGAGTTCCACCTATACTACACTAATTGCACGCTAGCCTTTACGACAAGTAAGATACTTGTTCAAAATATAACATTCGTTCGTAGTATAAACAATGTTGTTTTCGAGTATGTGGTGAATTGAATAATAGTATCGCGTATCCATTAATGGATCCGGGGGGGGGGGCGGAAAATTCGAGGACACATACTCTCCTCCAAATCCAACGAATCGAAAATACAATATTCTGTAAAATAAAATATTGTTAGTTTTCCACCAAGTTCCGAATGTTCTGTTAGAAACATGAGCATACACATGACTGATATTGCTTCTGCTTCTGCAAACGTTCGTCCTTAACGCAGAGTACGCTGTTTCCAAGAAGCAGGGGGTGGGAGATTAACTTTGACAATTCTTTGCGAAGATATGGTGGATATAGAAGCGCCGTAACATTTCTTTGTTTTGTAAAAAGGATGATTCCGTAATATATTACAAACGCGAATACGAAATGTTCCGATTAGACGAGCAAATATAAGAAAATATAACAAAATATGTAGTAGTTGATAAAATATGTAAAAAATATGTACTTATACCAACATATGTAAAATTATGAAATACAAAAATGCTTCTAATTCACTGAGAATTTCGTCAGCCATTCTTTCAGAATTTGTCATATCTTGTAAACTACAACATTTTATTGAATGCAGGTATCGTATTCCCGTAAAAGATGTAATTGCATGGAAATCAGTGTCCTGGTTATAAACCTCGGCAATCGCCACCGTTTACAAACTTCACCGCTTCCGTTATTCGCTCTCCGGTGGCCTAATGACGTGCAGAACCATTCTGCGCGGCGGCGTCCAATAAAGTCCGGGCGCGACGTGGCGGCGAAAATGCACGCGGGAGCGGGGGCGGGCGCGAGGTTGAAAGCGGGAGTGAGAGCGGGGGCGGGGCGGGGACGGAGCGGGGGCGGGCGGGGCGGAGAGGGGAGTGAGGCGAGCAGCGGGGGGTGGGAGCGTGTGGAGAGGAGGCGTGAGCTTGGGGTGAAGCTGAAGCGGAGGCACGGGAACGGGACGGCGAGCGGGGCGGAGGAGGGAGCAGAGGTGAGTGGGAGCGGGGAGTGAGAGAGCGGTGTGCGGAGCAGGGGCGGATTCGGGATCGGGATTCGGGATCGAGGTCAAGAGGCGGAGGCGATAGCCGCACTTCGTGGCTGGGGCGGTTGTGTTTTCCCGCACTTGTCTGCGCACTTCACCCCTCTCCCCGGGGCTCGGCGCCAATGCCGTCGGAGACGACTCCGGTCGCGGTGCGCCGTGGGAAGCGAGCCCCCCTTAGCCCCCCCCACCTCTGTTAGCGGCACTCGAGACGAGTGTGCACTCGGCTGCCGCCCCACAGGAGGGAGACTACACCGAATGCCACCGGCTGGGTTTAGCTGAGACCCAACATTGCCGCTGGTGCTGCGACTCTGATCGGGAGAACCTGGGGTTCGATTGATTGATTAATTAGGGCGAGCGTGTCAACTGCTAAGGTCATTAGTCTCGTAATTGTAGTGTACGTTTTTATCGCGTTAAGTGGTGGTGATCATTCCCTGTTGGATGGCGAAATCAGGCGCCAACCTACACGTCGGCTAGCGAGGGTTTACCCAACCTACGAGAGGGGACCCACTGTCCCAGCCGGGAGGTCTGAGCTCTAGGCAGGTCTCCCGACATGTGTGATAGTGTACTCAGTGCATGTAAGGATAAGTAAGGGTGAGGATGTGACAAGGAAGGGGAAGGAAATATCGCGTGTTCCCTGGCCCGTTTTTAGGGTGTTGCTTATTCGCCGTGTGTTGATCGGAGAAACCACGCAAAACCAATCAGAGAAGCCATCCGATGGAATTCTCCTCTAGACTAAAGCTGAACTCGATCTAGCTGTCTATCCAATGTCGAAAATCCTGCTATCGTCGGGACTCGAACCCTAGGGTCTCCCGACCAGTGATATCTATTGAGGTCGTGAGCCACTTAAGCAGTCACTGAGGTGGGAGACTGGTACACTGGATACCATCGACTGATTTTATCTGAGAGCTAGCATTGCCGCCGAGTCTGCAGCGATTATGATCTGGAGGCCCTAGGGTTGTTGTCAAAGCACATAGGACGAGAAATCGCCAAATAACAGAATCAAATATTCTCATTTATCAGAAGAAATCGACATTTTTTCATTAATTTTGTTTTTCCTGTTCCCCTGGGCATCCAACGATACCACAATGCAATGAGCAATGCTTCAAATACTTTCGGGAGAGAGATGGTGGGAATGTAAAAATATCTCAGTTTTACACAGTAAATCGAATTCATTCCTTCTTTTCCCCAATAGACGACCGTGATAATTACATACCAGGATATCACTGCGAACTTAGCAGGCATATTCTACTCTATATTGCGTGTTAATAAAAAGGTAGAAAATTTCTTTTGACCGCAGTTAAATTTGTGATGCGTCAAGCACGACAATTCCGTGACCCAGTAACTTCTGGTGCACATCAATTTTGCTGTCTCTGTGCTGGGAAGCGAATGGTGCGCATCGCTAGTTACCGAGAATTCTGCTCTTAAATCGCGGAATTTTAATTGGTCGCTGCAGATGCATTCTTTTTTGCCGTACGCATGCGACAGACGGCGAAGTTCCCGCTGTTGGGATTTAACGACCTTTCGCGGCAGCATTTTCCACATTACTCATTTGCGTATAAGCGCTCAATTACGACTCTTAGTTGCCACCTGTCGCCCCGAGCTTCCTCCGATGCACGGTGGGTTTGTTGGAGGAAAAATGGACAAACAGTTAATTCAATTGCAATCATTTGACACATATGTTAGAGTTCTCATGGTCATTAATATTGTGTCTGACGTAAAATTTGATGAATTTTACAATTAAAAATCGCATGAAGGTTGATGCGATTTCGAAAAGTAAATAGCATATGTATTTTTTTTATTTTAAACATTATTTCGTTGCATTTACGTTCTAGAACCGATGTTGCTAACCGGATTGCTTAACATTCCGTGAAGTCACGGAACAGAAGCAATTCGAGACAGCGAGGCTGACTGATTTCCTCCAAAAAAATTGTGTCCCATTTATGTAGAAATGCGACACGGGAATATGAATAATTTAATATTTTTCTTCTCTCTTTAATGTTTTCAATTAATCTTTTTTGCAGCTTTCGTATACTGGTTTGTTTCCTTTAAGTGTTTGTATTTTTTTTTTCAAAAAGTGATTCATTTTATTATTAAAACGTGTATTTTATTTTCCATTTTGTATGTTTTTAAGATATGTATCAAGTATTCCGTAACATAAAAGAAATGAATAAATACAAGACCGCAGGCAACATGACGTCCTCTGAGACGTTCTACAACAGGAAATTTCCGGCAAGTAATTACTTGTTGAAGAGTTTTTGTCACCGAGACATCTGATGGGGCTCTAGGCCAGCGTGGTCTCAATCGATTAGTGCTGGGCATCATTATTTTCCTTTCTCTTAGAGTCGATATTTCTGTACTGTTCTTGTCTACTGCTGCTGGATGTGGCGCACTCCACTTACACGTAATTATGACCTCGGTGACACTCAGGCTCTCCAGCCCTCAGTGATTCTGAGATGTGAATTCCACAATTGTGGTTCCATTGCTGAGGAGGTGGAATAAACTCTTGAATGAAACTTCCGGAACACTTCTAGAGGAGGACCGCATTGATCGGAATTTCCTGATTTGTTGTTATCACATTAAAGGGATGTTGTCTAACTACTAGTAATATCGGAAGAGTGGCGGCCGCAATCAATTTTTATTTGGCCAAATTATCATCCGGGTTTCCTAGATCTCGAACGACTAAAGGGGCGAAATCGAAACGTTTTCTGTATTTAATACTGTACTTCACGAGTGTGGTGAAAAGTTGATAGTTCTAACTCCTTTGTCTCTGAGCTAACGAATTTTTTTTCCACGATCGGAAGATGATGTGGCTTACCAATGGGTGTAGTATACATATTCGTGGTTGAGCCGCCAATCACAAGGCGAAAACATGCCTTATGCGGGATCGGAACTCACAATCGTACGCCAGGGCGGTTGGCATTGTGGGTTTTGCAGTCGTCTGTACCACAAGTATTTAGGTCGGTTTGATGTATGTAGCACTACAAAACCCTCGGCCAGTTTTCCCTAAAATGTGGGTAATGAACTTTCCCTCCATCATCCCTCCATTGTCATCCACGTGAAGGTTCGTATCACGTTCCTTCCGCAAATACCTCCATCGCCCCCAGTCGCTCCGCCCCGCCCCGCCCCCCCCGCCCCGCCCGCCCCGCCCCCGCCCCGCCCGGGCCCGCCTTCCCCCTTTCCCCCATTAATCCCCCCGCAAGCATGGCCAGATGTAGTAATGTCGAAACCCGCAACCGGATTCCGTGGCGTGGGACAAGAGCAGTGGGCGGTGGGCGTTCCAGTCATGTTTGCGGACGGTTAATGGGGCGTGCGCGCGTCATCTCCGCGCGCGAGGACGGAATTTTCCGGATTCCGAGTCGCCCGGAGCCTGCGCACCGGGGGGGGTGGACGGGCAGGGGAGGGGGGCCGGGGGCGCAGCTGGTCCAGCCGGGCTGCGAGCGACGACCCGTGCCGTCCGCGTTCACTTCCCCCTCCGCTGGCCCACATCCGGTAGCGTGTCTGCGCCCAGGCTGTCTTCTCCGGCCCTGCAGGTTGTGTAACGCACTGGGTGGACTGCTCTTTGCGGTTTGGCGCGCTGCGAAGCGGCTGCCTATGAATGGAGCGCGCTTGCTGCCTGCGCGGGTTCCCACTTGCTTCTTTGGCGCCTCGTATTCTGATTACTCTGCTTAACGGTGGTTTCAGTCCGTATGTAATGTAATGTTCATTATCCAACCAGAAACTCAGTAACTATCATGTCGCATCGTTGATGACGAAGTGACACATGTAAGAAAACCAACCCTACTCACAACTGTATTTTTTGTGAAATAGAATGGTGACACCGGTAACTAGTAAAGCGATCCGTAAGATCGCAGGTATTAACATTGTTAAATTATAGATGTGTCATTTTTCCACAAATACTGATATTTTGAGTTCATTTTCAGTAGCTTCTCAAAAATAGTTACATTTTAATTATGACACAGTTCTCTCATCAAAGCGATATGCATGTGTATGTCCTATTTTCTGCATATTCATTTTAAAGGTGGAACCCTTGTCAAGTTTCTGGCAGGTCTTCTGTTTATCTTGAAAAATGTTTAAAATGCGAAATGGTGTGACTGGTTTCAGTTAGCTGGCGATCAGGCACGCAACTGACGAGAATCCACTTAACACATTTCTGTATTATTCACTGACGCCAGACAGTGACAAATCAACAAAATGTCAAGTCCCCTCGAACACTAGGTTACTCTGTCCTAGTATTTTTAAATAAGTAGTAACGAATTATTATTCACAGCTACGGGTCTGCAAGTCTTGTTCTTTCTCAAGTTTTATCATATGTACGCTAGAATTCATAATATAGATCATAGATATTAGATGAAAATGTTTTTGAAAAGAAGATAAGATTAAAATACTGTTATAAAGTTATCAAAAATAATACTCAAATGCGGGTTTTTGTTCCTTCTTACAATGATACACAATAGTCGAATGCCTTCTAGCTAAAGGACGTCCTTGTGAGTCGGAGCAGTTAACCAATCGGAATATGCACAGTGGATTAACCAGAATCGTGAGTCATCCCTTGGAACTGCTGCAGTACGTTGCAGATGAAATCCGTTCTTAGGGAATTTGCCCCCTCGAAGACTCTCTTATCCAGCCTTTTTAAGGAGATTTGTTCATTACCCTTGAAGCCAAATAGACTTTTCTGAAGACATTGGCATGCTCAAATTTAAGGAAAAATTCGGGGGAAAAAAGGATCTCGATATTAATGATTTCTCAACCCATTTTTCTCCTGAGCTGAAGTACCTAGCCACAAAGGTTGTTCTAATGATTCGAGAATAGCAGTTCGAAGAGTTCTCGGGGATTTCTCTGAAAAACCTCTAATGTAATACGTAACGACCAGTTCAATAGATGCATAGAATTTGCAAAAGGTTTCCTCATTGAGCGATCCATTGTGCGGCAGAAATCTTCAAAGACGGAAATGTCGTATACGAAGGTCACAGTAATTTCGAAATACCTGATGGGATTCGCACTTAGCACGATGTGAATTGTATTCTTCGCCGTTATTCTGAACGTTCCGACTCGTGCAGAAATCTTAACTAGAAGCACTCGTAAATGCGACTGTTTCAGAAGTCACGACGATGCAGTGGAACGGGACTGACTGAGAATTCACTAACGGAAGAAACATTTCGCTTTTAGGTGGCGGTATGCTCACTGTACACTCGGTGAAAAACTTTATGTGACGTATGGGGGACTGTGCTCGTTTCCATGAGCTCCAGAGTCGCTACCCTAGTCCTTCTATTCTATTAAGTTGAATTATAAATAAATGTGTCATCGCGTGTTCGAAACGAAACAACTGAGGATGTCGACCCAGGGGAGCTCCACGACCTACCATTACTAGAGTAGCAGCAGCGAAAGCAGTGTTTTGACGCGCAAGAGGCTCCAATTCGGACAGCGAGTTCCCGGAGGGAGTATGCAAATCCGGATCTGCCAAGAGCCTCGTCACGCCTGCCTGGGGCCAGGGCCCCTCCCCCTCGCTCCGTTACTGCGCGTGCCATGTGCCCGTCACGACCCGGCCCCAGGCACGGCGTCAGCGCCGCCAGGCCTCTGGGAGGCCTGCGACGGAACACGCCCGTCCCGAAGGGGTTGACTGCCTGGGATTAGAATGCTAAAGGGTTGGCCTGCGGCAGGCACTTTGTTTTATTGAATTTCGTTTACAATGTCAGACAGTACAACGTTCTGTCGCAAGGCTCCTCTGTTGCTTGGTCTACTAATTTTATACCAGCAAAGTATAAAGGAAAGGGAGTTACTTGTTGTCATCTTCCCGATAGAAATTTTGTTCGCTGAAACCTTCAATTAAGGTTATTGAGAGGATCATTCTCAAAAAAATATCGTTTTAGAGCGATGACAACGGTTTAGAATAAAATACGGTTGGCGAGAAAGTTAAATGTACGAAATATTCTATCCACATGTAATTTTAGAGAGTTTCTAAAGAAAACTGTGAAATGGGAATTGTTTCTTAGGCGGGAGATGGGACAGATTGGGGGGAGGGGTGACTGGCACGTTGTGAACAACCGCTTTACGTGCAACATTTTCTGTACGTGAATCCATTTTGTTCGATTCGCATTTGTTCGTCCAGGAGTGCATGCACATCAATATGATGTTGCATTATGGGAAAACAGTTAGATGACGTACATATTTTAATTCTGGCCGCACACTTGTGGAAATGAGATATCTGCTTACGACAAGTGTTACATTACGAAAGTGTATGTCAATAATCACAATAATGTGCAAACTTTAATTATATTTTCTGTCCTTATTCAAAGTAAGATCTGTACGATAAACGTCGGATTGTAATAGGAGGTCAAATCTGAAACGGTTCCTTGTGAAATGAATGCAGACTTGTAAGACGAGTACACAATATTTTAATACAAGGTAGTCATATTCTCAAATATTATGAGTTAAAATTTCTCTTTTGAAACTGTATTTGTGGAAATATACTAGTACTTGAAGTACTATTGGGAATGGTCATCATTAGTTATAGGTATTTTTAAATCGCGTTTAAATCGTGCATTATTGCGGCTATAATGGGCCACAATACATTTGTACTATTAAAAATTCCAATCTTTACACTGTTACATATTTTCTGTGGGTTAATGAGTCTATGGATATATGGTTTTATCGTTGATATTTTATTAAGGAAATATTTGCGTATCGTTTGCCAAGTAATGCAATATAAGAGTATGATTTCGACATTTTAATCATCACTAACCCTGCTGAAACTTAACAATGGATAACTAATATAATTGCAATAGTATTAGTATACGGACGAGACTTATTTTAATAATGTTGCAATATGTTTTTATTATTCACCTGAAAGTTAGACGTACCAGAAGGTCGCCAGAAAGTTAGACGGACTTTGCCAAAGGTAATTTTAGCCGTTCCATAAAATAACGTTCTACTATCTAAACGTGTAATCTTCTTAATTGTGTACTGGCCACACAAGAACTTCCCTGAACGTGAAATTCAGTATATTGTAGTATAGCGTTCACAGCACTATCTCACAGCTGACATTGTTAAAAAACCAATTATTTCCAGAAATTATCCCATTATCTAGCAAACCAGATTTTTATATGATCACAGAGACTCGGTCCAGATCAAATAAGTGTCTAAGGAAGTCGGTTCGAAGCTAGAAAACACATTATGCTATCCAAAAAGGCTCAAATCAGCTGTTTAACGAGAATGCCGAGAAAGTTTAATTAAGAAATTACACACTACGTAGGTATCGTGTCCGGGAATTAATGAGTCAACATTCGTGTTCAGCTCGATCGATAGGGAAGAAGGAAGTATAT